TCTTGAAGGCAACACACATTATACAAAGCAAGAAATTAAAGCTCATTGTGTGCTAGTTGTCACCAGAGTAAATTATCTGTCTCGCATGATTTGCCCTCTGGAATATGTTGTGTCAGGCAATATTATGGCACAGAATGACTTGTTTAAGGGCATGTCTAGTTCTAGGACTGCTTATTATCTAAACTTCCATGATACCATAAGACTGTAAACCTATACCCATTTGATGTGTGAAAAGCCCCACTGAACACTATAGGACAGTTATCTGTGTAGACACTTACACGATGACACTAAGAGACACGTATGAATTGAGTATTCAGCATTGGTTCTGGTGGTGGTGGTATAATTACAGGCGCAGGTAGGATGATTAGTGATTAACGATTTTCTTCTGGGTGAATCTGGGAAGGTTTTCACGGTCTCCCCTCCATGTCTAGTGAAAGTCCCCTTGTCCTTAGGAAGAGGAGGAACCACAAGAGGACTCTGCTTAGGTCTCAGTGGAATTTGCAATGCTGTTCATACAGGCAACATGGCAAGTATTTCTGCAAAACTGAGGCCTGTTTATAGTATTGGAAATGCTGGCCTTATATATGATTAAATCTGTCAGCTTTAGTGGATTTCAGTAATGCTTTAAGTCACTGCCCACTTCCAACCGTTTATTATGACAATAAACCTTTCTTACCCAGCGCTGACTTACAGGAAAGTGTGGTTCAGTTTTGTAAAGAGAGGCTTTCTGAAATATCATGAGGAGAGCGCACATTTCTTTATACAGTGCTCAGGTGCCTGTGCTCATTTTAAAAATAAGAAGGTTGTTCCTGTGGTTGATGGATGTGACATCTTGGATCAGGTAATGTCCATGCTTGCACATGCCATGATAATCACATTACAGCAGGAGAGTCATTGTTCTCTTGTTTTAATCTACAGGATTCAATCATTTTACCTGCTATGCAGTGCTGTGCTTATGAGTGCGGGACTTTGCCCGTTTATCAGATTTCTATACCTGAATATTCCCCCCCTTAAACAGTGACACAAGCTGCTGGTACAAACTAGTGTGCTTCAAAGTGCCCTTGTGCAATCTAGGAATAGGGCAGTCAAAAGAAGAGGTGCATCACCAAGAAACAGGGCATAGCACTGCATAAAAAATGTGTATGCTACTTCAAATGAATGGAAACACCTCCAGAAATAATGCTCGAACCTAAATTTCACAGGAGACACAATGATTAATTTCAAACCCAAATCAGCTTAAACGTTTGTTACATTTACTTGCCTTTGCACACCAAAATCACGCCAAGTAAATTCCTCACAAATTAATAATCCTAATCATCCTACATCTACTTTTATTCAATCAATTCATTCCAATTAATTTCCTATTCAGGTCCCACTCTAAAACAAATCTGCTTTAATTAATTACCCCCCCTCCCAATTATCCTGATCACTCCAATTCAATTCTACCCAGGGAGCTCCCTAAATCAATTCATTTTCAGAATTAATTTTTATTCCAGTTGTTACCCATCTTTCTCTAGATCCAAAGAGAGAAGGAGTATCTCAATATTTCCCTTATTTTCTTACGCTAAAGCAAGCTCAGGCCCAGCAAAGTTCCCTCCCTTATTATTTAGGGTGGTGAACATCTGAATAAGGGTCAGAATATTGGATCAGGATTAGTAGTCCATGCAACCCGTGGGTAATGAGCAGCCCTCACTGGGCTCAAGTTCAGTCCTTTACAACCCCTCCCTTCACACACCTCCCGCTGCTTGTTCAGGCCACCTTCACATACACACACCCCTGAGTTAAGGAAAGAAAAAATTCTAATCAACTACCTCTTGTCTTGTAAAACTGAGAACAAGCAGAGCTTGCTTTAGATTACCGATTAATTTTTCAGGCATCAATAGCAAAATAAACAAGCTATGTTCGCATTCGGTAGAACCAGCTATTAATGCAACATGGCCAGATTGAAAGTTGATTCCAGACTAATTGGGATTCACTGATTTTCCACCACCTTCCCAGTCAGTGTCTCAAAACTAAACTTCCAAAGTGGTTATTTGGGTTGGTTCTGGCGTCAGGAAAACCTTGACGTTCTGCTCCCACCTCCTCCGTTATCACTATCTCCCCTGTCCTTAGCTCTTCATTCTCTGCTTCCCTTTCCTCCTTTTCCCATGATCTGGAATCTGTTCCCATGATCCTTGGATGCTCCTCTGAAGGAGTAATCCGCCCAGTCCCCACACTGCTGCGGTACTGGCAGCAGAACAGTTGGTGGTACAGCACAATGGTGGCCTACAAAGGTGGGAGGATTAGTACTCTAGCTTTGGAGCAAGATACAAACCTTTCGAGGATACTGCTGCAGCTTGTCATTGAAATTGGTATTGGTTGCTTTTAACGCTGGTGCCAAACTCATGGGCATTTGGATGGAGTCTTATTCTTTACAAGGTACTCACTGCCTTGGCAATCAGTCCTCTTTCTTTCCTTTTTAAAGACTAGATTGCAGAGGTGGGACATACCTATTGGTGCAAGCCCTGCAGCACACCTGACCACTGATGTTTCAGGTGTCCCTGGAAGATGGAGGCCTGTGGTGGCAGCCACCTTCTTTCCCGTGCCTTGCTGCTGGGAACAAGAAGAACCAACCACCTACCCTCATTTCCCAGGTGCCAATTGTGAAATGTGCAGTAGCCTTGCCTTTGGATTTAAGCTTTTTAAAAAGGAAAGTACAGGTGAATGACCACCTGCGCTGGCATCACAGCTTTTCATACGAGACCCACTCGCCTAGGCATTTACCATTCTATTCTGTTGGCTCTGGGGACTCCAGCAGGTTATGGCTCCTGCCTGCTTTGTGTGGTGCTACTTCTCCAGGACATTAGACACAGTGGTCTTTCCCATCATTGACTACCTGGCCTTTTTAACTGAGATACCAGAGACTGAACCTGGGAGCTGGGATGCCGGAGGAATATGCTATGGGTTCAAATGAGCATCGATTTCCATGAATCCAACTTTCAGGTTCTGCAGCAGGCCAGCTTTTTTGAGTTTAGGGACACACAGATTTTCTTCATTTTAGTCTCCATTTTGCAGGACCTTTCTTTCTATCACCTGCTCATTTGACAAGATAGGCTTTTGTCCAGATCTGTTTGAAAGCATCTGAACAAATTTGCACTTCTGAACATGCACACATCCTCCATAATGCACATTTTCACACTTTAGTTAGGAGAAGGGGTTTATTTTAAATTGTGTGTGCACATGTGTGTATTTTTATATAACTAAATGTAAAATTACAGACGAGGAGGAGGAGGAAGAGAAGAAGTTGTTGTTTTCAAGTTCGTAGAATTTGTGAGCTGGAAAAAGCCAGTCCACAGTAAAATCTTTGGGTTGGAATCATAGAATTCCAAACCTGTTACAGCTCATTACAGATTTCTCTGACACTCTTATTACAGTCATGCAGATTTCAGGGATGTGCAGATTAGCGTTTCACTTTTGCGGGAGGATTAGTGCTCATTTACATTTACTTCTACAGAATAGCACAGTGCCCATTAGAGCAAGTCCAGGAAAATTCTAATGGATAGAATCCAGTTTGCCTGGCAACCGGTGAAACCCGGATGGAACGCATTTAACAAAGGCTATGCATTCCCACCTGAGACCACCTTCTGTGCAGCTGAGCAAAAGTCCCAATAAAAATTCCAAATGGCAAGTGTCATTTTAAAAGAAGCATTCCACCTTCTCTTGGGAGGGAAATGTTCTTCTTAAGATGGCACTTACTGGCAATGACCCAGTAGTATTTTTATTTGGGGTCTGCAAGGACAGAATCCCAACTAATGCCATGAAAAATGGCTATTCATTTACTGAGGATTGCCAGTATAGCAATAATCTACAGGTGGTAGCAAGTTGCCCCTCCAATAGTTGAGAAGTGGTGTATGAGAGTCTAGGATATGATATTAGAATTAACTAATATGTTTAGAGTCAGGGAAGGACAGTTAGTAAATATTATTAATAGAAAAATGCACTCTATTTTATATTGGGATGTGAATGTTCAGGACTCGGGTATGTTTGATGGGTATGAGTTTGATGATGTTTAGACATCTACCTTGGAAATATTTTCTTAAATGTATGAATGGATGTAATATGGAAGTTAATGGAGACATTTATTTAGGACGATGTAATGAACGTTTAAGCTAAACTCTGATTTCTTCCTTTAAAAAAGAAAGGCAAACCATAATGGGGCTTACCAACATGTGTGTGTGTGTCTTTGAAAAAACCAAGAATGCTTTTATTTTTTGGAGGGGGGGGGATAACTATTTCATATGAAAACTTGTGTATATTGCATATTTTACTCAAAAAACTAATGAATCATGTAACAGCTATAATAATAATTCATTGTGGCTACTCCAAGCCCATTTTTGCAAAACAAAGAACCATTGCTAAACTGCTTCTTCTGCTTTGAGTACCAAGTGCTTTGTATTCATGAAGTGCATACAGATTGCCGATGGGGGTGGGGGACACTTTTATTATATATTTTGAACACCATCAAGGAAATTACATTGCTCCAGTGCCCGGAGAGTGCTTCCCCAAATGCAGTATTTATCAAGTATTTTTGGCTGAGTGTACTTGGATGATACCAGAGCTATTAACATTACTGTAATTGGATCCTTAAAGGCTGAATTTGCAGAATCTATTGTTGAGAACTTCCCATTTGCTTTACAGCTTAGAAAGCATTAATTGAAATGGCATGACATGTTTAGTGATCACCCAAATGCTTACCTGAATTATCTTTGATGCTATTTTCCCACGTGCCACTAAGCTAAAATATCTCTGATACCCGTGCTTGTAAGTGCTGATTTATTAATTGCAAGCCATATGGAAATGTGTCAGAATAATAACATTTCATTATTGGCTTCTTTGTGCAAAGTGGAATCCCTCCAGTGGCAGAAGTCTGAGTGTCCTGCTATGAGGTGATGCACAGAATGCATGAGAACGTACCAAGCTCAAGAAAATGTCTGATCTGTTTCCTTGTCTTGCCCTTCCAGTCTAATATTGTGAAGCTGACCAAGCCAGTGGCCCTGTGGACCCAGCAGGATGTATGCAAGTGGTTGAAAAAACACTGCCCAAATCAGTATCAAATCTACAGTGAGTCATTCAAACAGCATGACATAACTGGTAAAGTATGAACTATCCAACATATTTAACTTTAGAATGTGTGTGTGTGTTTAATTTCTTTTGCCTACTGTCTTTGAGTGACTAGTCTACGAGTGAGTACTGTTACATAAAATGTATATTAGTTATTGGCCTAATTCTCAGCAGTGTGAGGTCATGAGGGAATAAAGAATGTGTTACATAAAGGAATGATTAATAGAAAATATACAGTGATAGAGTCTTACTGTGATAATGGTTTGTGGTTTTACTTGTTATTTTTATGGTATGTGCTCACCTTGGGGGACTCCTTTAAGCCTAAAAATCAGGGCACAGACAAATTAAACTAACAAATATATGGTGGCCTAATGGAACTCGGAAGATAAGAAAAAATATATTTACAAGCGGTTTCATAACCCCATAGAAGAGTACTTGCTTTGCATCTGAACGTTGGATATAGGCTTTCTGAGATCTGAATGCTTTTTCCCAAAGAAGAGACAAACTTCAGGACCCTGAAGTCTTCTCTGATCTAAAATCTGAGTTGGAGGAAGATTGGGCTTATCCTCCTCCATAGCTCCTCCAGCCCCCAAAGCTACTTCGCTTAAGCCACATTTACCTGGTCAGAGTTGTTGATAGCAATGGCCAGGAAGGCGTTCTTTCTTCTTTTGTGGTGATTAAACTGGGCTAGATGGACCTAGAAAGGTGAAGTTTGGGGGGGGGGGGGAGAGCAGAAATATTTAGGGAAAATGGGCATCACCACGTTCACTGTATCAGATATGTCACTAGAGGGTCCAAAATGCTCTCTGAGTTTTATCTGCTTATTTTCAAATTTATATGCCGCTGAATAGCCCAATAGGAACAAAGGAACCTGAGTTGCTTTTTAGGTTGTAGAAGCAGCTACAGGAGGAAAGCAGAGCCTAAAATTAATTTCTTGTAAACTGCCCAGAGCCTATGGGAATAGAGTAGTATATAAAAATTAAGACAAATAAAATAACTGGGGTGAAAAACCATTGTGGTGCTTAGGATCCTTTCCAATACCAACTTTCTTAGGTCATTATTATGAACACTACACTGGGCTTGTATCTCTGTCTAAGATTTAATAAGTCCATTTGATACATTATAAGCTGGATTTATAACCTTTAGGTAATGAAAAAGATTAAATCCTTTCTACCAGGTAAGAATTAAATATCAACAATTCTGAGTTATGCAGAATAATAAATGAAAAACGAGCTCACTGACAGAAATGCAATATAAACAAATAACAATGCATGTAAATAAAGTTCTGTGCACATTTGGGAGTGAATCCAGAAAAGAAATGGCCGTCAGTGGTGGGAAACGGGTTGTGAGGGACTGTGTGCAGGAGTTCTAAGGCTCAGGGCAGTATGAGGACGGTGAAGAGAGAAAGCACCAAAGGCACTTTGGTGGTGGTGGTGGCAGCGGCGGTGGCTTGGGTGGACACTGGATGATCCTAGATCTTGGTATGTCAAGTGGATCTTCCTCATCACAGTTGTCACCCTCTGTTGCTACTCTTCCTCCTCTCCACTTAACAAACAGGGAAAAAGTTAATAAATAACTCTCAGTCTTGACTGAACTGTAATAAGAACTTGTGTAAAACAGTTCTCATGGTCCAGCAGAAAGCACATTTCTCTTTAGCCTAGGCAAGCGACAGGTTTGTGCAACACCAGTTCAACAAAGGATTTCTTTTGTGTGCATTTTTGCATTGGTTGGATTGATTTCAGCAACCCAACCATTTTCTTCTTGAGACTGGGGAAAGAGACTCAAAAAAAAGGACATAGACTTTACACTTTATGTTGTGAGCCGTCCCGAGGCTTCGGCGAATGGGGCGGCATAGAAATGTTTTAATAATAAATAAATAAATAAAACTCAGAAAGTATAGATGATGAACCAACAGGTGGTTAGAGGTGGAGCTAGGAGAAGGCAGAGGATGACCAGCAGGTAAGTGAACTGGCAGCCATGGGTGTCCCACTGCAGTGTGGGCTCAGCAGATGTCCAGCCACCCCTGGAGAGATGCTTCTTAGTTGAAGATTTGGGGGAAGTTCCCATGGTATGTGGTGTGCATAGGAAAGGTGCACCACGAATGCACGGTGATTCCTGTGATGTAAGTGAAGACTGGTGCAGCTGGTGGTTTCCCTGACTCTGGCTTCAACTTGTGACACTCATTTTATTGTTTTTTTTTCTCAGCTGGAAATATCAGGGGAGGGGGAGCATTTCTGGCCTTCTCTCTTTTTCTTTTGTTGAAACATCATTTTTATTTATCTTCTTCTATTTCTCTAGAAACAGTTCATTTGCCTGTTATTCATGCTCCCAAGATTTGATGTGCCCATTCTCCCCCCTCACCAATTTCATCTGCCTTGCTATATCTTCCATAAAGAAGGCTTCTGAGTACACCTTCAGAGCAACAGCCCTTGAATGCAGTAATTATTATATGTGAACCTCATTCTGTCAAAATGTAATACAAGACATATCAGAACCAAGTTTGACTGCCAACACAAGCCTTCGGAGACTTGGAACTTTTTAATTAAAACCAAGCCAGCCATGCTGTCAGGTGTCCCCATTTTTCTGGGTGGGGATTGTCCTGCCCATTTCATGAGCATCTCTGCCCCTGCCCTTGTGTCAAGGCTGGAGGGAAGGCTTAGGCCTGCTTGGCCACAGTGTTGCCAAAGCCTCTGGAGAGCCTTGACTGCACAGACTGGCTGGCTTCTTAACTCTCCTTTCCCGAACCAAGGAGAGTTGGCACCCACAGTGGTCGGCCTGGCTCCAAACTGTAGAGCCTTGCATGTCTCATTTACTATCCTTTAATTCTGGGAGGTGCCAGATGGAACTGCACTGCATCCATCTGATCTGTTGACTGTGCTTCTGCCATTTTTGAATGTTCAGAGCAGAGCAACATCGAATCGCCACTTGGTTGGGTTGCAAAGTAGGCCCAGAACAGATTGCTAGATCGAGTCTCAGGGGTGCATGGCAGCAAAATGGCCATGAGAAATAAAACAGGGAAAAGCTTCTGCAGAACCCATACACAAAGCAGGTTTCTAAGCTCCGAATCTTTGCAACGCTCCATGCTTTGTTCTTGCCTCCTTCCTATCAGCTTCCCTTGAGAATAAGAAATTCTTTCACTGGTTGGAGCTGGATCATTTAATGTTAGGAATCCCAAAAATGGGATTCCAAAATTAAAAACAAAAAACAAAAACACACACACCCCTCAGTGTATTACTGAGTCTCCCACCAATTCACTGACTGGTAGGTTGTTCTCCAGGGTTTCAGAAAGAGGACTTTTCTAACCCTATCCTGAAATGCAGAAGATTAAACCTAAGATCTCTAAAACTGATTTATAGCTGTGCCCCAAGTATTCCGCAATGAGTTGGCATGCAATTATTGCCTGGTGTGTCTGTCCTTTCACACCAAGAAGAGTGAGAGGGACTGTTTCTTGGGTCAGAACTCCCGCTTTGCCTGCAGAAGGCCTCGGGTTCAACTCTTGGTGCCTCCAGTAAACAACACTTTCAGGAAGATCCTCTTCTTAAAAACCTGGAGAGCTGCTAGAAGTCAGACCAGACCACACTGGGATAAACGATGATATACCCTGAAAAAACAACAGGAGGGGAAGACACTGATGTATTGCAAAAACAAAAGGGAAAAGGTTATCAGGTGCCTGGAAAGGATGTTTATTTTGCGCAAAGCGTTTCCGAAACAATCTTTTTTCCTTCATCAATTTTCCTTCAATTAAAATTCTACCACAAAACATGGTTAGCATTTTGTATTACTCCTAAAGGACCAAGATTATCAAACAGTTGCATCACTTAATGTGGTCGACTGATTACACAGCTTGTAACATTTATCAAACATGCTCATTAACAAATTCATTATATTAAATGCATTGTGAATGCTTTTAAAATGTGTCATATTAAAACTATTATTTGGTTTATAGTCTTGTAGGAATATAAGAGAAAAGATTGGTTCCAAAATGTGCTGAGCAAAACAAACATCCTTTCCAGGCACCTCAGAATACTTTTTGCTTTTGTGTTGGAAGAAATATTCTGAGCTGGTATAAGGCGGCTGACTAATGTTTTGAGGAACTCAGGCAGACAGACAAGCATCTGAGCAGATGATTCTTTCATGTGCTAAATATACACACTGGATGTCAGAGTGAAATACATTGTCAGATGCTTGGCAAAGACCTTTGACTTCCCTGTTGACCAGGTTTCCTTAACCTGGTACCCTGCAGATTTTTTAGACTACAACTTCCAGACCAGAGGCTAGATGCCTGCAGTTGAAATCCAAAATTTCTCAAGGATGCTTTAGGACTTCCATTTGCTCTGGAGTCTGAAAGGGACAAGAATCCGACCTTTTTAGGTACCTCATTCCTCTCAGTCTGCGTTTAAAGAATTTCTAATGGATATACTCTCAAAAAGGAATAATTTTATAAAACCATGAAAAAGCTGGTGTTTTATCAGCTATGTTTCCACTTACTGTTGCAAATCATGTTATAAAACCTAAGTGTAAAATCTGTGTAGGATTAACTTGCCCCTTTTGAATAATATGCCAGACCAAGGCTTATCCTGTCTTTTTCAATCTTCCAAAATCCATGACAAGAGCTCTTAGGGTTCATCTGTTGTAAAAGGAGTAGCAAAAGCCGCTCCAAGCAGGACAGCTTGTAAATTAAATGTCAATAGTTTAAAAACAATGCAAAAATGTAATCTACACAGCAGAGTTTTAGACTAAAATACAAACAAACCAAAACTTGCCAGCAGATCAGATACAAACACATAAGTGAAAGTAGCATTTAAGAAGCCTCGGATCTGTGTTGGATACCTAAGCATTATTTTGTTTGCCACCGATTTCTGAAGAAATAGGTCCATTAAAAGTTGCTACTACAGAAAAGACTCTTTCTCTGATCATGTGCTCCTGACTTTCCAAGTACCCTACTATTAGAGAAGGTTGATCTTAAAACTAGGGCAGATTCAGCTGAAGGAAGATGGTCTTTTGCATGCCATGGAGTTAAGTTCCATCCA